GGGGGGGAGGGTGCTGATGAGTAGACGGTCAAGTCCACCTCCCCTTGTCGGCTGGTCTTTTGTCCTAACCCTTGGTCCCCGCGCCACAAACTACTAAATACAAAAGGGGGGCTTCGGTCAGTATTCGAACTTCGAACCGACAACCATCCGCGCGTCCCGGGCGCGCGCTCTACCAACTGAGCCAATGATGACGCTTTTGAATAGGTGGTGAAGCTTATCTCCGCTGTGGCTCACAACCCGAAACATATGGCTGGCAGAGGGGCAAAAGGGTACCGTCGACTAGATTCGAACCAGCGACTGTTTGCGTACTAGCCCATCACGTCAGGTGTAGCACGGCTGTAAAGTCATGGCCAGCGGAGCGCAAAAATTATCACCTGGCCGAGATTCGAACCAGTGACCAGGTTCATACCGGGGCCAGACGCCACCGACTTGGCCACGACGGAACGATACGGAGCACAACTTTCGGAGGCATCCAGATCTCAGGTATGACTGACGCCCGAAGAGACTTGGCCAGCAGAGCAGGAAAAATAATCGCGGACGGGATTCGAACTACCGACCATCCCCACGGTCTGCCAACGATCACGCTTTAACACGCTCGGCTACCAGCTTGTTCCTCCGGGGCCAAGGTGTGAGCTCGGTCCTGCCTAACGGGCGACAAAAAGCGACAAAGAAAAAATTTGCCCCGCCCGGGAGTTGATCTTAGGGCCGACAATTTTGGTTCGGATGAAGCTGCATGCGGTCATGTCGACTGTAGCTACAACTGTTTAACCACAAAAGGGGCGTGTGGCTGGTGGCGTGGGATTTCGTATGTTGCCCCATTTGTGACCTCATTTTTGTGTCCATGAACAGGGACATGTCCACTACCACTTGTCGCCGCGACACGAGTTGTCGCTTGGACGCCCGCGAGGTTGACCACGGATTCTCTCTAAGGCGTCTGTCGTGACGGTGACTTTGGGTTTAGGCTCCTTTTGACCCCAGGCTCATAAATCCTTTCTAAAGTTAAGAAGTGACGCCGTGTCAATCTAGGAGTGGGTCGATGATTGTCGCTGAAAACTCCTGGAGGGTAGGCAATCGGTACCTCCTATCAATATGCGCTTATAATTCATTAGGCTAAACGTAACCGCTCTTCACCTCGGGCTCTAAACAGAACCACTTACCTGCGCGGGTCCTACACAGAACCGCTCATCTGCTCGCGCCCGGGGCGCTGGTTAGGTTAGGTTGCCCCTCGTATTAACTATAAAATCACCCAATATCGGAGGTTTTTTCGGGTTATAGCAGTTTAAATACGGTGTTCTAGTACAGACGAGAGAGTACGTAACTTTTTTTTATTCTAAATTAAAGGTCAGCGCCTAGAAACATCCATTGAAATCTGGGAGTCACCCGCCCGTATTTCAGAAAGATAAGCGGTTCTGTGTAGGACCCGTGCAGATGAGCGGTTCTGTTTAGAGTCCTTAGTAATGAGCGGGTCTGTGTGGACTAAAAACAAATAAGCGCATATTGAAAGGAGGTACCGCAATGCTTTCCTGATTCAGGCCCCCGCGGCCCCCTTTCCCTCCGAGCGCTTTGGCAAGGCGAGAGCTTCGGAGAGGCTTTGAGATCTTTCTTTTCGCTTTAGTTCGTAGCGCTGTTTACTTCTGGTTGATATTCTAGCATTGGCGGAAGTAATGAATTCGTCTATAGACGGTTCAGTTTAAGCTGACTCAGGCACTGTCGGCTGCAGCTACAATCGTGTAGCTACAAACAGGGACGTCCAAAGAGCCAGGCTCCAGCCAGTTTCCTAGGACTTATAAGCGCATCAACCTACCCTCCAGGAGCCCCAGCCACAAATCTAGCCTTGCTGTGGTAGCGGGTGCACTTAAGGATCGTCCAGAAAGTACGTTCGTTTTCCACTGATACATTCGGCAAATTACGAGAGGTTGGCGCCTGCGAGACTCGGGGTAGGCTACCCCGCAGTACACGCATGCACTATACGCAAGATGTTGCCTACCTACCAGGCGTTAAGAGGGCTTGCAGAGGCTGAACTAGACAGGTTCGTAACAGCGACTGGCAGTATGGATGATCCCCTGTAGGACCTAGGTATCTCTAACGGAGCTCCATGACCTCTGGAAGTGTGTTCTGACCACTGTGGTTGGAAGCAACTGTTCCCTTGTTCACCGAAGTCGCCAACAACTGCAGTGCGAAGGGCGCATTCCCCCTATTTTTTCCACCGGGGGGGGGGGGGGGTATTTACGGCCCGGACGTCGTCTTTGGTCTACAGTCGGCGCCGGAAGTTGGTTTAGCTCCTTGTACCATGACAAACAGCATCTACAATGGCCAGCAAATCTCTGTTATTTTTTTAATGACTCTGTGTTGTTGGAGAACAACATCGTTTTGTCAAGTAACGTTGCCCTATGTACACAAACAGCCCTGATCGTTGAGTAACACCAAAAGTTGTTTCGAGACAACTGAAGTTGTTCAGGGACAAAAAAAGTTGTTCAGGAACGACAAAAATTGTTCGGAAACAAAAAAAGTCGTGCAGGAACAACAACAAAATTGTCAATTTACAAGCAGTTAACAAACAGCCCGATCGTTTGAGAACAACAAAAGTTGTTCTGGAACTACGAAAGTTGTTCAGGAACTACGAAAGTTGTTGAAGAACAGCAAAAGTTGTTGAGGAACAACATTGCCGTTTTGCAACAACAACAGAAATTGCTGTTGTGCAACAAACATTGCTGTGTTGCAACAACTTTTCTTATGCTGGATTAAGTCTCGTGAAGCGAGGCCCGTAATTCTGTCTTCACCTTAGCTGAGGCACGGGCTACAAAGATTTTGAAGACTGTGATTGGCTATCCAAGCTTTGCAAGCCAATCAGAGTCCCCGAAATCTGTGAGGCCCGTGTTTCAGCTGAGGTGAGGACAGAATTACGGGCCTCGCCTCACAAGACTAAATCCAGCATTAGTCTCCAACAACATTGCTATTTATCTACAAAACCGTCATCAGTACGTGAGTTGTTTTTCAACCAGTATTTTTTACAGTGTGTGAAGGATAATAATACAAAAATTACGCACATTATTAGAGTAAGCATTAACTATAGTTTATCGGAAGAAATTCAACACCAAGGAACACAACAATGTATTTATACTGTACAAGTTTTTTTTAAATAAATGTGTCTATTAATATTATTCATACTTTTGACATATCACAGAAAAAAACAATAATGAATCATAGCAATACAAGGTTTTAATACTTTCTGACACAAAAAACTTATCAAATAGGTACAAAAAGAAAAACAATGAAAATTTTGCAATCAAGTCACAGCAGATTAAAACAGACACACATTCTCACAGACATGCTCTTAAAACTGCGCAAGGGCATTTAAATGACTCATATTTTTACTACCTCATAATAATTGTAACACGGGTTGACCAGCGAGCACAATACCATGACATTTTTTAGAAGTTCATGTTTTGGCCTTTTCAGTCTGTTGCTCAACTCAGCAGATTCGGTAGATGTGCTATAGATGATCGAGGCTTCAAGCAAGACATAACACTGGATTGAGAGCAGAATTAGATGAGGAAGATACAAAACCTTTTTGACCTTGCCACACAGTATTCATTTCAAAATTTTACAATACATTTTGGCAACACTTACTGAATGCTTTTCAATTTTCGTGGATCTAGTTATATTATATCAAACTCGTGTGTTGGAACCTCAAGACACGTCATCAAAGCACACCCACACTTTAAATAAGTGCTCTGCGCTGCGAAACTATTGAATTTGGAAGAAAATAAAATAAAAATGAAAATTTCATTAGAAGAAAGACACGCTCGAGCTTGACAAAACGCCTTCACCAACGCGATTCTCATGACGAGGAGGAATCAGTTTCACTGTGGAACTGAACGTCGCTCGTCGACTTAAGAGCAGCATTTTATTCCGAAATGTCAGTGTGCAAAAGGTACAATAATGGTCGTAATCGTTTGGCGTGATTACTACAATATAGTTCCAAAACAAGTGTTTGCCCAGAATTTGTAAAAGAAAATTATCGTAAAAGTTAAGGATAGTGTGGTTTAGCCAACGACAACCAAGAAGGATAGTGGGTAAAACATGCAGGTCCCCGATTGGTCGAGCCTTTAAGTGCCTTAAGGGCGCACTGGGTGGGCTGCCGTCTTCACACAGATGCTTGGTGGGTTGGCTTACCCAAAAAGGCGCCATACGGGTTGCCCTTGCCCAGATACCGGCATGAACCAACGGAGGAGTAATCTCGATCAGGAACCTTAATGTTGTACCCGCTATTCTACTTTGTTCTCGTTAGGTAAACCACACTCTGTTTGAACCCTTACGAGTGCAGGAGCGACTATGACAACCTGGTGAAGGGGACGTCATTGCCGGACGAGTGTGTTGATGACTAGCGTCCGACTAGTCCCCGCCGAGGCCGGCCAGACTCCCTTGGCTGACAGGCACTCCCCGATACAAACCCAGAGGACCACTGTTCACCCGTGGCGTCGACTTTCCTGCAGGCCACGCACACACATCCTCAAAGGAAGCGGATCATCGGACCTATCCCAACACCCGGCAAAGGGCCATTTTTTTGAACCCATGTTGGGACTTATTTTACGAGGGCGTAACTTCAGAGTACCTTAAGGTACATTACTACGAAACCTTAGGTGACTTCTCCAGCGGGCCCTTTGCGTAAGTACCAGAGGTGTGCTTGTCGGCAGCACAAACATAGTGAAAGTTCATCGCGTCCACGTAGCAGTATAAAAATAAACAAAAAACAAAAACAAAACATAGAAATAAAAACAAACAAACAAATGAACAAGTTAAATGCTCTCCAAGTATTGGCACTGCCGCCGTGTCCCTAGGGAGGTGTGCGGCCCGTCGGGCCCGTCCGTGGAGTTCAAATAATTTATTTAATTAATTGGTAACTTGGAACACAACTTTTTGTCCGTTCACCTGGAACGCACTCGTGGTTTTTACTCGGACGTGCACCACCACAGGACTGCTCACACTACTGAATTGATTAAATTACAATTTTACCCATAAAATGAAAACGAAGGGGGTACGGGCTGAAGTAAAGGAACACTGTCGGCGCACAGGAGGCTTGTTATGTCTGTTTCAGCAGATTTCTTTCTTTTTTTCGATCCAAGTAGTGCAGCGTCAGAGCGGAAGAGAAGTGGTGGAGGACGACGGCTCGGGACGCCCCTCCAGCCGCAGCCCCTTCACTGGCCCGGCGGCCACTCTGCAATCAGAGGCAGGTCAGAGAAGCCGCGCGACATGTGGTTCAGGGCCAGTGTTGTTGGTGGCTGAGGGAGTTCTCACCATTGTTACTGGTTGAGCAGGGTGTTGGTCACCTCAGCGATGGACAGCAGAGGACTCCCGGGCGACTTATCTGAGGATACGCGGACGAGTCTCCTGGGGGTGGACTGAAACAGAGAGGAGCGGATACATAAGACCACACATTCAGGGACAGTCAAACGATTTTTGCAGCCGTGTTAAAATTATCCTTGCGTATTGAAATGTTTCTTTATGGTCCAAATTTACACACAATGACATCAGTTTCTTTAGCCCTTTTCGCTGAAACATCAGTTTCGTTAGGTTCAAATTAATAATACAATTTATTTGACATTCAGAGCTAAATTTGATTCTTTAACTCTCCCTATGGACTAGGTCCGGTCGATAATAAAACATTAATAAAACAAAAAAAAAATAAAAAAAAAATAAAAAAAATAAATGAAAAGAACAGAGTAAGTTTCATAGGAAGCCAAGGTAGAAGAAAAGGGAAAGGCATTTTGACAGACACACACACACACACGAATCACATGCAACCCCCTTCATGCATTACTGTGTGCTCCGGCCATGCACACCATGCAGACAATATACTGTATGAGTGCATCATGTGACTGAGGCAGTACCGCACGTGTGGGTGCGGGCGGGTTGCCTACTCGTCATCAGGCACCACGGTCAGACAGAAACCCGATGCACAGAGGCACAGTACAACTTTCACTGCACTGGAAACGCAAGTGTGTGAATGTCGCACACCTGTAGTTGTGTGAATTCCAATTAAAGAAGTAAAAGTGTGAATTTTTCTTTGAAATTCACTCTCTTTTATGACTCCAAATGTACGATTAGCGTTCACACACATACAAGTATGCGACATTGACACTCTTCGATTTTCGGTGTGTGCTCCAACTACATGGCACGCTGAAACAAATGAGACATTTCCAGAAATAGCAAGCAGCACAAGATGTAGCTATTTTTGAAGCACTCTAGTATTGTGCCAGTAGCTTTATGCAGATGTTGCCTTCTGCAACAGTGTTTCTGCAATATGTCAAACGAGGGGTCGACAACTGTTGTACAGACTTGGTAAAATCAAAATCACTGGTCCCTGGTAATCCACACACTCGTGAGTGTCTTTCAAAGGACAAATCTGTTGATTAAGACATGCATTTTTGTGCATATCTTGCAAGCGCGCATGTTTAAAATGGCGAATTTGCAGCTCTCCCGTGGACCAAAATATAATTTGTCCAATCATAGAATGCGAGTTTGTAACTTATACAAGATAAAATTATTAAGGACTACCTATAAGATGTGCACAAACATGCATCTTTCTCGAGACAAAAGAATTGCCCTTTAGATTTAGAATGTAGGCAAATCATATATGATACTAGGTAGTATTCATTGGTATTCTATGGTAATCATTAGTAATCTTCGGTAATCATTAAAATTTGGTAATCCGATGCACATTTTTTTTTGTAGTTAACCACCCCTCGATGTCAAAGCTACAGTCCGAACTTTACCCATCTCCCATCGCCTTTTTTCTTTCCTCTCTGGTAATGTTTTTTGCACCATGCAGCGATTGACGCGATTCGCGCCCATACCTAGACCGGGTGCTAAGCACTCTGCAGTTTAGAATCCCCTTGAGGATCACACATACTAAAGGCGGGCTGTGTGGTACACGCCTGCGCCTGCACGCAGGCCTGCCTGTACCGTACGCAGGCGTGCGACCAGGTTGCATACTCGCAAGGGGAGCAGTACGGTGGTTGCCACTGCTGAGCCGTGCGGCAGAAACGAGCAACCCGACCGCACGCCTGCAGCACACGGCACGGAAGGCAAACAGCATTATAAAAGAAAACTATCTGCCACCACCAAAAACTACCTTATTCAACTTCAAATTCAAAGGCATGCTCAAATGTGATTAACAGCGCGTGCTCGCTCACTCACTCACTCACTCACTCACTCACTCACTCACTCACTCACTCACTCACTCACTCACTCACTCACTCCCCTTCCCTCCCCTCCCCTCCCCTCCCTCCCCTTCTCTTCCCTCCCTCCCTCCTTCCCTCCCTCCCCCTCACTCACTCACTCCCCAACTCACTCACTCGCTGTGCACCCACACAAATAGTAGCGTACGCCATAATAAAATTGTAGTGTGACTGTGAACTCACTGGGGGTTGTGGTAGGGGTGGTAGTACTGTGCATGGTGCTGCCATACCTCGCCCGCGCCCACCACGCCAGCGCCCACCACGCCCGCACCGTCCCCGGCGCCGTAGCCGCCGTACTGGTAGGCCTTGAGCGCCAGCGGGGACGACGGGGTTAGGGGCGGCTGCGGCGGCGAGGGCACCGCGTGCGCCACCACGTTCATCTCAGCCAGAGACTTGAGGGGGTTGCCGGGCGCGGAGGCCCCGCCGTTGGGGGTGGGCGCGACCCCACCGGGCCCGCCGGGGCTGCTGGAGTGCGGGGAGGGGGAGGCGGGCGCGGGCGCGGAGCCCCACATGAGCACTGTCTGGCGGTAGGGGCTGCCGGCGACGTCCGGCTTCAGGTCGCCCGCCGACGCCTCCATCTTGGGGGTGACACCGTTGACGTGCGACGGCGACGGTCCCGGCGATGGTGACGCCCCCGTCGAGTGCGACTCTTTGACGACCACCTTCTTTCCAACCGACTGCTGCTGGTCCTGAACTACGGTCGCGTAGAGCCTCGACGAGTCGTACGACGTCCGCGTTGGGTCCAGGTCCAGGCACTTGGACGGGTAGGCGGCGGCGCTGGCCAGGCGCACATCGTGGTGTTCGGGGGCGTAGAGCTTGTCGCAGTCACTGCCAGGCGCCCCCACCGATGGGACCCGCGGCGGCGGCAGCTGCGGGTGGTCGCCGTAGGCCGACAGCCCGCAGCCCACGGGGAAGCCGTTGGCCACGTACGAGGAAGAGTGGTAGTCAGACACGGTCGGGTAGTACGGCCCGAGCGTCCGGTATTGGAACAGGTTGTGGTTGTCGTACAGCGGCTGGTAGTTGGAGTGGCCCATGTACGACAGCCCATTGTCCGCCGCGCCCGTGGTCGGGTACGCCGTCGAGTACAGCGGGTTAAGGTTGGAGTAGGCGGCGGCGGCAGCCACCGCGGCGGCCGTCGAGTCCACGTAGTCCACTGTGGGCGTGACCTGGCCCGGGGTTGCGCCGCCCCCGGACGCCGCGCTCGCGTTGAGCTTGCGCTTGGTGCGGCACGTTGAGAGGAAGTCCCGGAGCTGCGTCTTGTAGCGCCGTGACACCCGCTGCGTCGGCGTGGTCGAGGACGACGAGGCGGGCGAGCCGCTCGAGCCCACCGGCGACAGGCCCACCAGCTGCTCAGAGTCCGTGAAGTAGCTGCTCGTGAGGCCGGCGTCTAGGTACGACACCTTGAAGTCCATCGTCCGCTTGCCCAGCAGGTCGCGGCCCTCCTCCTCCCTGGCAGATCAAAACACAGATCAAAATGAAATTCATAACACATAAAAATAACAAGTGGTTGAAATGGCAATTTTGAAGCCATAGGAGGAGACACGCAATTCTCGGGTCAAGCTGACATGTCAAGGCCAAACCATAGACAAGCTCGATCAAGCTCGCCCAAGTAAGAAGTGGCATTTACCGCCTTTTATTTTCCCTCTTTGAAGTTGTACGTAAATTTCCTCAAATGGACTGAAACGTATTGAACGAAAAATTGAAACCTTCGAAACATTTGGACTGGGGGTGTGAAGCACGGGCCGCACCGCGGCCTGGCCCTTTGCATTATGTTTTGATCGGATGAGGGGCGGCCCGGGCCGCAGAGGGGGAGAGGGGGGTACTGCTGGGGCTTCAGCTTGCCACACCAGTGGAGGTGGTGCACTTGCATGTAATCTCCACCTAACCCCCCCACCCCCTCCCCCTCTCGGCCGCTACCGTTGAGCGAAGTGGAAGTTGCAGAAGACTTTCCTTACAAATTTTTATTTGATCAAGTAAATTTACAATGATAAAAGGAGACGGTGGTTTCTTACGCAAGTTCAAGTGAAACCTCATGTACTTGTAAATTACGGTGATATTCACTGAGTGATGCGACAAATTTTACTGTAGTTACACTGATTTCCACCGTAACTCACAGTGAAAATTCATCGTAACTGTGAGTGCTGTACTGGAACTTTTGGTGAAAATCGCCGTAAGCTTTTAAAAGTGCACATATGATCGATACGACCAGCGGATTGAATACACCCTGTCACGAATCCCATGGACATCATGGTAACAAGCATGGGCTTATGGAGTTCAAATTGAAACTAAACCCTTATGCATCATAATGTGCATGAGAATTGCAGAGTTTTAAGCAGCCGCTTATGAACAACTTGTATGCACAACTATGTCCGCTCTGCACAAATTTGTGCATTGTAATGTACAGTTTTGGAATACATATTTATGTACGCCGTTTTGAGCATAACTACTTGTGTGTTGTACTCACATGAGTGGCCGGTGAGTGCTGATGACGAAGTCGGGCTTGGAATTCTTGTAGACTAGGCGCGAGGACGTCTGCAGCCACTGCCAGTTGCCGTCCTTGCTTTGTACTCGGTAGGCGATCATGCCGGAGGCGCCCGTCTTGAGCACTGCAATGACAAGTCGGAATTATTTAAAATAGAAAACAAAGAAAAGGTGCAAAACATGAGCTGCCGCCACGGAAAAGACAAACTTAATTTGTATCGAACGACCGAACGTATGTAGATAATATTTTCAAAATGTTATATTTTACTTACGCTCTTGGTGTGCGCTGGCCACGTACGCGAGATCATCGTAGTGCACCATGTCGTAGCCACCCATGTTGGCTAGCTCCGAGTCAGAGTAGCCCAACAAAAGCTTACCCCTGAAAACCCAACGAGTATTTTTTTATTGTAGAGTAGAAGAAACAACAAAAATAAAGAAAAGACAGAGGGAGGAGGGGCACATGACCCTCCGGTAGGGACTGTCCTACCTTTGGTCCATAGACACCAGGGTGAGGTCCAACTTGTGCTTGCTCTTGAACATGACCTCTTTCTGCGGCACCTCGAGTAGCGAAGGTGGACCAAACGGCGTGCAGAGAGCGAACAGCGCCAGGGGAGGCTCCTCTGTCTTGCGGTTCTGGCCGTGCAACACCTTGACGCGGCCGCGAATGTCCAGCCTCTGAAACAGGGCAGAGCCGCTGATTAGGGGAGGGGCAGAGAAAGTGGAACAGAAACAGCACTTTTCAAGAGCCATTTGCCTGATTGCCGAATAGAAGCTAGGCGGCGAACAGCAAAAAGTGTACGACTTTAGACTGCGCGACATTGCATAGCACGCCGGGCCGCCTTTCGGGCCGCCGGTCTACAGGCCTACAGCCTACACCCGGCAGCCCGTCAGTCTTCATTCAGCTGCATTGCCAGGCTGGCGCTAGCAAGCCTACATTACCGTCGAAAAAAACGAAAAAACGCAGAGTAAAATTAGTTCATTGGAACTGGAGATGAATGTACCCAATATGTAGCCTCGAACGTATGGAGCTCAACGCATTAAACCTCTCAGGTCACACAATTAATCACAAGAATTTTCTCATCTTCAAGGCCAAATTTGTCATTTTAACGACATTTTAACATATTGGCATCAAAAGTGACCCAAGTGTGTAAATTTGTATCCCTTCATATGCACTCTGACGAAAACAAAATATCTCAGTGCGGTAAATATCTTAATTTACGTTTATAGCCGTGTCTGAAACATCATTTAGGTTTCCGTAAAAAAGGAACGTAGAAGGGAGATAGTGTGTATCGACATGTGGATCTGATCGGATGTCCGGTGTGCTGTCCATGTCCCGATGAGCAGCACGGCACGGAAGCGGGGACTGGCCTCTCATTCCACTAAAAAAATAAAATGTGGGGGACACTACAGCATCGAACCGCGATGTCAACCCCTGATTATAGCGGATGGACCTGCAGGGAGAGAAAGCGATAGGTGAGTGAGTGGAGTGAGTGGAATGAGTGAGTGAATGAGTGAGTAAATGAGTGAGTGAATGAGCGAGCGAATGGGTGAGTGAGTGAGTGAGTGAGGGAGGGAGGGGAGAGAGAGTGAGAGAGAGAGAGAGAGAGAGAGAGAGAGAGAGAGAGAGAGAGTTTGTCTTTATCTCCCAACTAACATTTTTCGAAATAAAACTTTTCGAATGCCTAGTTTAAAACTTGGGTTTGAAGGACACAGACACAGTCTGAACAACATATGAGTGTCCACCTCCCTTTGTTCTCAATAATATCCTATTGGAAGAGGCGAAGAAACACGCCTTAGCTAAAGGGTTCTGCTCTGATTCAATTTTGTTACACAACACGTCCGCGCACACCTGACAGAGAGGCCAGCAGCCAGCACGGCCCGGAGGGTCGCCACGCGGCAAGGATCATCGTTTTTTTTTGTCGTTCACCCTTTGGGCCCCACCGTTCGGCGCAACGCAAATTACTTTCCGCGTCGCCTTCTTATTCTGACAAAAATCTTTTTTATCTCCTCTCTTTTTGTTGAAGGTCTTTGTGTTGGGCCCTTTGCGGATCATCGCAACGGGAATGTGTCGGCAGGATGCCTCAGACGCCCTGGCAAACTGAAAGATGAGCAAAAATTTGAATTTGCAGTTTTATTGAGCGAAACGAAATGTGTTTCTATTTTAGTTTAAAGAGCCTGTCACACAGTAAAAGAAAAGCGTCGTCCGAGAGATAGGTTCCTTTGAGTTGAACATTAATGGATTTGGTATACCATGCACCGTGCACGTGCATATACTTGACATATGCAACCATATTTCAGACGTTTGCTGAGAAGATAGGATCACATATCATTGAAAAAAGTAGAAGTAGCTACGTCACAGCCCCGCACATCTGTTAAAAACCGCATACTCGAATTTAGATGTCCTCTTAACCAAAGAGAGGCGAATGCATAGAGTACGAGATTCGACCTATAATTCCTGCTATTTCTCTCAGGCCCTGCGCGCTTGCAACAGAGGAGAATGACCATCGAGTGACCCTTACGGAGGAGCGGGGGCGTTACGGACGGAGCCCGCTCCGAGGGCGTGGGAACTAGTGGGTCAGGTGCGCGGGGCGAGGTGCGGGGTGGGGCCGGGCGTGGCGGGGCGTAGCGGGCCGCGGGGATTCGGGGGAAGGTGGAAAGGGGGCGCGGGGAGCAGTGCACGGCGGCGGCTCTAATGCCCCATCAGTAAAGACGGTCCAGCAGCAGCGGCCTGTGTTTGTTGTGTTCAGTTACACTACACAGTTTTTATTTTTTTTATTTTTTGCGTTTCAGACGAGCAGGGCAGGGGCATTATACGTGGTGGGCAATTCAGGAAGAAGGCACTGGTAAAACAAGTGTTTAATTTTGCACGTCAATTGACGT